CGGGGAGTTCCCTCTGACCCTCCCCCCCTCTCATGTGCTCTCTCTCTCTCTCAAATAAATAAATAAAATCTTTAAAAAAAAAATCTGTTCTGGAGAATGTTCTATGTGTACTTGAAAAGAATGTGTATTCTGCTGTTTTAGGATGGAATGTTCTGAATATATCTGTTAAATCCGTCTGTTCCAGTGGGGTCATTCAGAGCCATTGTTTCCTTGTTGATTTTCTGTTTAGATGATCTATCTCTTGATCTGAGTAGGGTGTTAAAGTCTGCTAATGTTATTGTATTGTTATCAGTTGGTTCCTTTATGTTTGTTTTTAACTGTTTCATGTATTTGGGTGTTCCTATATTGGGTACATAAATATTTATAATTGTTATATCTTCTTGTTGGATCATCCCCTTTATTAATATATAGTGTCCTTCTTTGTCTCTTTTTACAATTTGTTTTAAAGTCTGTTTTGTCCAATATCGTATTGCTACTCTGGCTTTCTTTTGATATCCATTTGCATGATGGGTTTTTCTCCATCCCCTCATTTTCAGTCTACAGGTGTCTTTAAGTTTAAAATGAGTCTCTTGTAGGCAGCATATAGATGGGTCTTGTTTTTATCTATGTCTTTTGATTGGAGCGTTTAGTCTATTTACATTCAAAGTAATTATGATAGATAGTATTCATTGTCATTTTATTGTTTTGTGGTTCTTTCTGAAGATTTTCTCTCATTCTTCCATTCTTTCATGGCCTGCTAATTTTAATGATCTATTTGGATTTCTTCTCTTTAATCTTTGTGTATTTATTATGGTTTTTGATATATGGTTGTCATTAGGTTTGCATATAACCTCCCCACTGTGTGCTCCAGATGCTCTTCAGATTGCTGTTTCTACACTGTATGTGCTCAGGCTGTTTGCCTCCTCTCCAAGAGCAGCCCCAGTGCCCTCCGGGATCTATCAGAGCCAAGCATGCTGACCTTTAAAACTCCAGGCTTTAAGTCCCACTTGTTGCAGAAACTCATGAAATTCAGTCCCTCTCACTTTCCAAGCCAATTGCTGTGGGGATTCGTTTTCCCCATGAGCTCCCCTGTGTGCTGGTCTGTCTCTTGCCTTTCTCTGTGGCCATGGCTCCCTCCCCACTGCAACGGCCACAATCCATTTCTCTCCCAAACTGTGTCTCCACACTCCCTTACCTTCTTTGATGAGGCCTCATCTCTACCTTTAGTTGTGGAGTTTGTTCTGCCAGTCTTCAGGTCAATTTCTGGGGTATTTAGGATGATTTGAGAGTTACCTAGTTATATTTGTGGGACAAGGTGGAGCCTAGGGTCCTCCTACTCAGCCACCATCTTCCAACTCTTCCATTTCACGTTTTTTATAGCACTTCTCTTTTCAGACGCTTCCAAAACCATTATCTCATTTGATGATTATAACAACTTTGTCTGGTGGGCAAGATTAGCACTAATTTTCCTATTTGTCAGGTAAGGAAACCAAGGCTGAGTGAAATTAATGACTTACCTAGACTGAACTGCTAGTTCGGGGCTGAGTCTAGGAGAGAACTCAGGTCTCCCAACTCCTAGCCTTTGTTCTTCCCCCTGATCTCATTGTCTTTCAGTAATCAGATAAAACAAACTCCAGTGTTCTGTGGGTATATGTTTTCTGTTCTGTCTTGGGCCAGGGTGATGGTGGATCTGGAGTAGGAAGTAGGTAAATCGTTTTACTCTTAAAACAATAATTGAAAATCTTATTTTTTTTTTTCCATAAGGGATCACAGGATGGTATCCTATCATTTTGCCAGAGGATGGGACCCTGCCTCACGGTTTGGAGCTCATGCAGAAGATCGTGGGTGGCCTGGAACTTTCAGTTTCCTTCACGCATCCTGGAGATAGAGAGCGGGTGTTGGAAGCTGCTGAGCTATTGGGCTGGAGCTTTGAGAATAATCTGAAGAATCTTGTCAAGATGAATGAAGAGGAACCAGCCACTGTCACCATATCCACCCCAAGGCTCTGGTTGCCCATCCATTGTGTGCTTCTGGCCGGCCAGAACCACATTCATAAGAACACATACTGCTACCTCCGCTACAAACTGTATGATCATGAGGCCTTCTGGACCCCTCTTAAGAAGCCTAAGGAATCTACAAACCAAAAACAGGTCATGGTTACTTTCAAGGCATCCAAAAGAGCAGAAGTCACTAGGGGCCCGTCACTGCTTTGGTATTTCAGGGAGGAGAGGTTAGAGATCCAAGTGTGGCGGGCTTATGGCAATGACAGTGTGGAGAGGCCCCACCAGATGGACAGTTGGATTGGCTCAGCCTATGTGGACCTGGCCAGACTTGGGGAGAGGTCAGCAAGGACATTAACTGTCAGTGGTAAGTGAGGAACCGGCCTTAGCTCTTGTGGTTTGAGCACCTGCTCTGTGACAAGCACTATGTGATAAACTCCCTCAGACATTATTTTATTTGATCCTCCTAGCAGTGCTGTGAGATAGGTATCAGACCTATTTTATAGTCATGTAAATGGAGGCTCAAAGAGGTTAGATTACTACCCAGGCTCAAGACAAGAGTACTGGACTTTTATCTGAGAGCTGTGGAAAGCTATTCTAATGGGGTCTGAATAGAAGAGTAATAGTTTTGCATTTTAGAAGACTCCATCTAGTAACTATAATGCAGAATGAAGATGACCAGACCAGATTCTTTATAAACATGATATTTATTCATTGGGACACTCCTTGTAAGATTAGTTGTTATTTCCTCCACTATACAGCTAAAGGAATGGAGTCTCAACCCTGTGTAGCTCTGTTAGCCTTGTGCTCTGACCCTGTTGTTGAACAGGTGACCCAGGCTAAATAAGAACTGAGTATTTGGGTGATCATCCCAGATTCTCTGGTTCTCTCTGGACCCAGCACGTATAATTCTGGTTCTGTTGAACACCTCATTAAATGCCATGTGCCCCTATTTTATCTGGCAAGCCTAGAGTCACTTCAGAGAGCCTGCAGAAAACGTCTTTGAAGTAAGCACAGCTCCCTTGAACTAAAGTTCAGAAAGATGGGCTTTTAACTTCACTCTGCTGAAGAAAGTAGGTTTGGAACACTGAATAAAGATTTAAGGATCAGAACTCAAGCACAAATAACCTCTTTTTATTGAGTAGTACCAAAGGAAGTATTTAACTTTTCAGATTGTCCATTTCTCTCCTGCATCTCCACTTCCCATCAGTCTAAGCTTTTTATCTTCCTGTAAACAGGCTTTGTACAAGGTGCGGCATTTGATGTACTGATTGAATGAGTCAAGCATTCCATCCAGTCATCCACCCAACCATCCTTCCAAGCAGCTGTTGAGTTTCTTGAGGATAAGGATTTAGCTATGTTGCTATTATTGCCCTTACTTTCTGCTTGCAGTAATGATGATAATTCACACATTGCATCAGAAGAAAAGAGGTTACCTAAAAAACAGAAGAAGACAGGGGAAGTTCCATCTTACTGCTTCCTGTGAGTCAGTTAACTCCATTTTCCTGAATTGAAATGAGTCTAATGAAGCAAACCTTGAGATTCTGAAAGAATTCTTAGTGCCTTCTGCTATATAATTAAATCTTATTTTAATATCCAGGAAGCCTGTAAGTTCAGATCCCTGGGTTTAAATCTGCCACTTATTGGAAAAGTCACCTTGGCAGGTTACCTAATTCCTCAGATTGTGGCACATGAAAAACACTCAACAAATACTAATTCCCCTATTTTTCTTTCTTGCCTCCTTTGCCGAAGCCTCCTACTTCATTTCCAAATGATCTTCAGGGCTACTGCCAGACATATTTAGTTGTTGAGACAGGCTAAATTGAGCACCTAATTGAGCACTCCTAAGAAGAAAGCCTTAGGAGAAAGCCTAAGGACAAGAGCCAGTGGGACATGTGACAGAGAAGACAGGCCACTCCTGCTTTAATAATAATCTTACTTTCAAAAGGCTTCAGAAGTCATCTAAGTCTGCTCACCCCCAGCACGTGAATCTCTTCCACAGCAACTCTGCCTGGTAGTCATTTGACTTTGGCTTCAAATCTGAGCTGTCACTACTTTCCATTAATGGAGATAGTGTGCATGTTGGGGAGAAGGGAAGTAAAAATTTTCACACCGTATACTAACTTCACAGTTGTTTTTTTTTTACAAATTGATATATTGGGGCCTGTAGGCCCGTTGAAGGAGAGAGGACCACAAGCACTCTCCGTCATTTCCAAGGTTAGAGAGCGTTCTTGGTTCCTGCTTGCTTGGGCTTATCCTCCTCCATCCTCTTGCAGGTGTGTATCCTCTATTTGGACGAAATGCTTCCAACCTCTCAGGAGCTGCTTTGCGAGTTCATGTGGTTCTTTCCTCTCCTTCCCCATACCCTGGGCCCGCTCCTGAGATGGATTCTGTGGACTGCAGCAGCCACAGTGAGTCTGAGCAGTTCCCCAGAAGGAATGATGAGATTCAGCTCTCTCCATCACCTGGCCACCGGAAGTCTCCTGCGTCCACCCAGGTCCCCTGCAAAAACACCACAAGGGAAATCTGCCCAGCTGAGGAGGGCCCTGCCAAGTTGGATGGAACTTTTGCAGTCAGTATCCTGGTAGAAAGAGCGATGCATTTGAGCTTAAAAGGTATGCTCTACTTACTTTTCCAGGAGCATGTGTCTGACTCCTTAGGCTATGGTCCTGTCTTCACAAATCTTTGAAATCATGACAGAATCTGCAACAACTGTTAACCATCTTAATCAATAATAAATATATTTCTCAAGCCTAAAGTTTTAAGCAACATGAAAGCCTTTTTGAACTTAAGTGGACATTGCCAGTTATATATTAATTTTGTATATCATAAATTCCAGTCCAGAAACCTGAGTATCAACTTAGGTACTTCTCTTTTCCTTATCCACCACCAAATCATCAAATTCATTAAATTGTATCTCTTAAATTTCTCTTAGGACTCTTTTTTCCTTTTCATTGCTACCATTTCGGGCCCTCTTCATTATGTACCTGGGACCAAGAATTCTTAACACTGGATCCCTAAACCCCAGAGGACCCAAGGATAAAAAGTCAGGATGGTAAACTTGGATAGGAAAATAATCACATCTGAATTTTATTAACGTCTAACTAAAAATTTAACATTTCCTACAGTTGTGAACGTAGGCATTAGACCCTAGTAATATTAGCAGTACCTATGAAGTTGTCAGCAATAGAAATCACAGTTATTTTCATATCACATTATGGTTCTTGCAGATATCTTTTTATACCTGTCATTACTTCAAAATTATAGTAGTTATAAAACCTACAGTTAGATCTTGTTACATATTAATAAAGCATATATATTAGCAGGTCACAGCTTTTTTAGCATTTTGATAATGATGCTAATATAATTTAATTTTTACATAATCCTGTGTATCTACATTATGCATTTTAAAAAACACACAGAGGAACACCTGGGTGGCTCAGTCGCTTAAATGTCTGCCTTTGGCTCAGGTCATGATCCCAGGGTCCTGGGATCGAGCCCCACGTCGGCCTCTCTTCTGTTCAGTGGGGAGCCTGCTTCTCCCTCTCCGTCTGCCTCTCCCCCCAACTCGTGTTCTCTCTCTTGCTCTCCCCCCCCAAATAAATAAATAAAATCTTTAAAACACACACACACATTGGGGTGCCTGGGTGGCTCAGTCAGTTAAGCATCCAACTCTTGATTTCAGCTCAGTTCATGATCGCAGGATCGTGAGATCGAGGCCCGCATCAGGCTCCACACAGCATGGAGTCTGCTTAAGATTCTCTCTCTCTCTCTCTCTCTCTCTCTCTCTCTCCTCCACTCTGTCCCTCTCCCTCCTCTCTCTCTCAAAAAAAACAACACACAAAATTAATATATAACTGGCAATGTCCACACTGTTAAAAGAAGAGGCCCATAAACCTCCCCAGACAGCCAAAGGAGTCCATGGCACAAAAAACCCTTGCCTTACTCTTTCTTCAGCCTTGTAATCTCTCCTAAAACTTTCTCTTTGCCATCACCCTTCTCTTTTTCCTGGCTAATTCCAATTCCTCTCTTAAGACTAACTGTTCAGTTTCCCTGACGTAAAGGTCCCCCTCCTTTTTGCTCTCCCGGCAGTTTTTTGCCCTCTTTATCATAGCATATATCATATGGTATTGAAATTGTTTGCATGGTTTTCTTCTCTACTAGATATGAGCTGTTGAAGAGCAGAGACCTTATCTTATTTGTTCACTCATCATCCCTTCAACAAGACTTGTGTAGTATATGCTATGCAAGCACTATCCGTGGTGCTGGGGATAAAGCAGTGAACAACACAGATAAAAATCGTGCCCATGTGGAGCTTACATTCTAGTAGGAATATCCTCAGCTGTGTATTCCCAGACAGTAAGTTGTATGTGTGGGACTTTGAGAAAGTTAGTGTCTCCCTCCATCTTGAATTTCTCATCTATAAATGGTTGGAATTAATACTTCTGAGATGTGTGATGGCTGTGTGAGCCAGACAACCAAAGCCTTCAATATACATCTTTCGTTTGGCCTCCCTACTTAGCTCCTATCATCTCTGTGTTGGCCTCTCTCAATTTGTGCTGTGTTGGAACAGAAACTGTTCCAACAACAGGTAACTGTTGTTTACCTTTCATTTCTATTTCTCTCTGTACACACCACCAACAGGCATTATTCCCAGGGTATAAGCTGCTATAATGACCCCTGAGGTTCTCATCCTTCTCATAACCTTTGAAACCTTGAAATGTTTTATCTCAGGACAAAGTGTTCTCCAACTACAGTCCTTGCTTTATTGTATTAAAGATAATAAGATCCCCTATGAGTCACAAAATTGGGAAATAATTTTTGCTTTTTTATTGACTCACCAAAGAAGCCTATTTTTGACAAGTATAATGTATAAAAACTGAATTTTTTAAAAGAGAAAAATCAATAGATGAATGAATTTAAGGAAAGCACAAAAAACTTTTATTTTTTGTAAGAATTGTTCTGTTTCGTTGTTATTGCATAAAATAGAATTTAAAACACAAAAATAGGGTTTACATTCCATTTTAGGGGGAGTCCTCATATTGCAAAAGTACAAATACAAAGCAATACAAATATACTTGTAACTTTTCCATTAGACAGCAAGTTACTTTTTTTTTTTTTTTTTCTGTTTTTACTTTTATTTGCATTTACTTTATGCAGAATTTACTCCCAGGCCATAAGTTTTCCTTTCTTCAGTTTCTTCTGGGATATCGCTTTCTTCTGTGCAACCTCCTCTTCTGGTTTAGGAACAATCTGCTCTTTTCAGTAAGGAGCATCTCCACGTGGCAGGAAGAGTCATGTATGGGTTAATCCGACCACGAGCTCTGTAAGTTCAGGTATGAGATATGACTGTGTTTGCTGGTTAACCCTGTCTACACTGTGTTTACCAGTCACTCTAGCCCAGGGTGGGTATATATTGCACACCCAGTCCTGTGCTTACATCGCAAGAATGGCAGTTCAATTTTGCAAGTAGTAAATCTCTGTAGGGCCAGTGCAGATACAGAGAGGACAGAGCAAATAACACATTCTGTCCTCCGAGAGCTGATAACCCGTTTAAGAAGACTGGCAACTACACAATTAATGATATATAAAGCAAAATGTTCTGAAGGCCAAAAGGGCACTACAATGTATAGTGTTTAGAGAGTTTAGAATAGAAAAATGAGATATGTCTGAGAAATCAGGAGAACTTTTTAGAATGAATAGGATTTCAGGAAGGTGGGATAAAACTCCAGGTGGGTATTTCAACTTAAACAAAGGTATTAAAGTGGGAAAGTATATGTTCTGGGCTTGCTTAGGGAGGGCATGGGGGAATCATGATAGCAACTGATCCTCTTTGGCTGGATCCTCTTTTGGCTGGTCATTGCAGGGGAGCTGTGAGAATCATGTAGAAATAGATAAGAAGATTGCTGAGCTCAGCCAAGGGCTCAGCTAAGACTAATTGACATGATTTTAGCATGGTTGAGAATGCACAGTGGTGATTTCCTCCAGTAGTGTGTGGCTTCCTTTGCTTTCCTACCACAACAAACAACAAGCCATTCCCTGGGCCTTTGCTCACGCACCTTTCTTAGCCTGGATTCCTTTCTCCCTTTCCCCAGCTACCAAGCTCCAGCTGGCATCCTGCTCTTCCTGTCTTTCACCCTGTTCCAACCATGCTGGCCCCTCTTTGCTTTTTCTGAAATATAGACAGACTCTTGTCTCAGGGCCTTTGGATCTGATGTTCCTCTGCTAGGAATATTCTTAACTTTTGGCATGTCTTTAGTTAAATAACTTTGTATCACAAGGCCTTCCCTGACCACCCATCTAAAATTGTAGCTCCTCCTCAACATTTTCTATCCCTCCTTCCTGCTTTATTTTTGTCTGTAGGCTTTAATATAGTGTGTTTTGTTTATTTTCTGTCCTCCTAGAAGAATATGAGTCCTACAGAAACAGGGATTTTTGTTTTGTTTTATTTACACTAAATCCTCAACACCTAGAACTGTATCTGACACATAATAAGCAGTAAATATTTGTTAAATGAGGAAGTGGATGAATCTGAAGCCTTAGTCCAGTGCCGCCTTCTCTCATTTCCTACTTTGTCTCTCCTGCAGGAAAATGCTAATGGGGAATTTAACAGAGGATAAGTCACAGGGATTAATAGATTTATTCAACAAATACTTATCAAGTTCCACTGTGTCCAAATACAAGGTATAGGATCATGGCCTCTTACACAGAAAATTTCTGTCACCTTTTCTCCATTCTTAGTGCCACCTTGCCTGTTCAGGCCTCAGAAACTTGGACGAATGGGATAGCCCTCTCAATGGTTGCTGCTTCCAGTATTCTCTTTCAATATCTTTTTCATTCTGCTGTTGAGGTTATATGTCTGGTCCACGAATATGACCTCTCTCAACTGAAAATACTTTGTTGGCTTCGTATCCCCCGCACTCGGTGACAGCACACAGAGTGCCGCCCACGTGGCCTGATCTAATCAGTCTTCCCAGCTTCATCTTTCACCATGTCTTAATTCCATAGTTCGTGTTTTGCTAAAACCCTTTTCTCTCTCTCACTACCAAGCCTTTGACCATGCATGCTCTTTTCTCTTCCTAGAATGCCTTTTTTCTCTCCTTTTCAACAAACTTTCTCATCTTTCGGGAATAGACTAAGTTTACACCAACACTTTGAAGCCTACTGACTACCTCTGTTAGCACAAAACCTCCCTCTAGGTTCCCCAGTCTCCCCCATACCACCACCCCTACTCCCACACTGTTTTCCTCCTTCATATCATATACTAGTCTGTGCTGAAAATGTCTAGAAATGTGTCTCTCCACTAGCTGTCTGTTCATGGGACTGTGTGTTGTTGTGCCCCAGCACCCTGATCTTCATGATGCAGCTAAGCAAATATAATAATGTCCTCTTGTTTGTGAATATGATACTTAACACCTCTAAAATTTCTGGTATGAATTACCAATCTATAAATCGCTTGTTATTTGGCCTCTTTCTATTTATCCAGGGAAGAGCACTCATCAGGGTGGATATCTGACTTTCAGAGGTCTCTGTTGTCTCCTGATTCCCACCCTCAGTGATAGACCATATAGTCTTTCCTCCCACAAAGTTTATGTTGTCTGTCAGGCCCTGGTGTTTGGTCCTTAGAATATAGACCTGCACATCATCTCTCTGAAATGTGCCTTCCAAATGATGATACAATAGAAGATGTTCTGGAATGCGAGTCAGTGGACTAGGTTCTGACCCTAGCTAAGCCATTAACTTGCTTTGTGACTTTGAGCAAACCCATTTCCCTTCTCCACAGCTATAAAGTGTGATGCTCATACAAGTTCATCTCTTAAGATTCTCTTTGACTGTCATCATCTGAGAACATGTAGCTGAGGGCAACTCATGCCACCCTCTCTGAGTCAGCCATAATTTGCCAAGCTTTTGTGAAAATCATTTTGCATGCAAGGCTGCATGCAGAAGATTCACCAACAGCTCTGAATTATGAGTTTTGCCCTCAGCAAAGCTTAAATCTGAAGCAGCTTTGAACTTTCTATGGTCCCCACTGTGGCCCTGGTTCTGAAAATAAAAGAAGTTCTTGAATACTTTTGTTAGAGAAAGCTCTGAAGACCCTTTCTTTATGAATCACCTTCAGTACTTCTCAGAGTTGTATTCTTACAAACCAGACATGACAGGCATCTCTAGCTGTTTTACGAGTAAGGCACTGAGGAACAGAGAGGTAAAATTATTTAGGTTAATCTAAGTTATACTCAGTAAAAACCAAAATTATCTACAGTATCATCAGCCTTTAGAGGTTCCCTTTAACCTACCGAGGCAGGGTTAGGAGCCCCTCTGGGTTCCCTAGCTCCCTGCACTTTTGGTATAGTCTTTCTCTTATTTTGTCTGTGTGTGTCTGTCTCCCTCAGATCAGGAATCAAACCTGACTCATCTGGGCCTGTGTGACACAGAGAAATTGTCAGTTAACGTTGGTTTAATGGAACTGGACTAAGTTTTTGTTAATACACAAAATTGGGCATCACTTGAGGGGAAAGTTACCATGCATTCATTCCAGGCCAGAGGGGGAGCTCTTAACCAAATAGAGTTAATTAGACCTATTGCATTAGAAAAACCCTGGAGTAGGTAGTCAGGAAACCTGGCTTGGTCTTACAAACGCTAGTTAGTTAGCCAGGTGTGCAGTGAGCAAGCCACTTTACCTCTCTGTTGGCTGGTTGCCTTACTTGTGAAATAGGGATAGAGTCACCTATCTTGTGTGATTTTCAGGTACATTATCAGTAAGAAAAGTTTATAAGCTATAAGGTGTTATCTAAACATAAGGGGTTGTTATTTTAATCTCTTTGAAACAATTATATCTTTCTTGATGCATATATTTATGTAAAACACAGGAAGTCTAGTGAATATGGTAAAGCTAGTTCACCTCAAGTCCCCTTAACTGCTCTTGGTGTGTATCCCAACCTGTGGGAGGTATAGTGGCTTTCTTCTGGGCAGCCTCCAAAAGTGTTTTAGAACTTGACCTTTTCCAGAAATGTAAACAGGCCCACCTGAATTTTCACCCACAAGGAGAGAGCCAGGGAAACCTGACAGACCTGCTTTCTCAAGCTGATTTGTCATCTGCCTGTTTGGCTGAAAGGAATATTTCTATTCAAGACTGAAGAAGGAAAAAATTTTCTTCCAAAGTCAAAATAGTAGTTTTATCTCAAGGCCTTTAGCAGATAGCATCTTCAAAAATAACAAATCTTAAAAGGGGTGGGGCGGGGTGGAGGAGGGGATGGGTGCTGTGAACGAGAGATCTGAGCAGTACTAGTAGACATCTAGAATCATAGTTTTATTGTGGGAAATGATTTGGGAGCACGTTTCAGATGAGGAAACTGATACCCAGAGAGCCAGAATGAAGTACCCGACATGTCATGCTAAATGAGGGTCAGAATACACAAGAACCTAGGGTCCTGCCTCTCGGAACCACAGTTGGTCCTCTCTGCTGATTTCTCTTGGAGCTTTCCTGAGCAGATGTGGTTGTCCTCCGCTGGTGCACACCGCAGGCAGACAAGGCAGCTTCTCTCATTTCTCCAAGCCTGGCAACTGTCTACAGACAAAGGTAGTAGTGAGTCTGCAAACCTTTTATAAGGGCCTTGGGCCTACTCCGTGCATTCAGGGAACTCTCAGTTTAGTGAGGGAAACACAGACACAAATTATTATAGAATGCTGTGGGAACTGCCAACACAGAAGCAGATTATCTCTTCTTAGCTGTGAGGATTTATGACATTTTATTGGAAGAAATCAGTTTTGAGAAGCTTGAGACTTTCTAAGGAAAGTGGGAGAAAGAAAGGTAAGGCTAAGAGAGAGAGAGCAGCTATGTCAGGGGGCGTCCAGTTATAAGAAATAGAACTCACTCCAGCCATTTAACATCATGTATGCTGAGAGACCCTGTGGTAATAGTGATGATGAGAGTTTTTGGTTCCTCTGGATCGCATAAGTTATGTTTTAGATACTTCTTTTTCTCCTTTTCCTTTCTCTCCATCTATAATCCTGAGATTGATAGCACTTTAGAGCTGAAAGTGATCTTATGGAATATATAGACCCTGTATTATATAGTCTATTCAGCACTGTCCAAAAGAATTCTGTACTATGATGGAAATGTTCTATATCTTTACTGTCCAGTATGGTAGCCACTAGCCACATGTGGCTCTTGAGCACTTGAAATGTGGCTAGTGCAGTTAAGAAACGGAATTTTTCATCTTACTTATTTTCATTAATTTGAAGTTAAATAGCCACATGTGGCTAGTGGTTATCTTGTTGGACAGCTCAGTTACAGACTATCTGGTATCAGCAATCATCTTCATTTTACATTTTTTTCCCCCTCACATAATAAAAGATTTTAATGTTATATTTTCTAACTTAAATTGAGTCCTCAACAAACAATTATATTTCTTTGAAGAGAAATTTAGGTCAGTAAGTTTAGGCAACATATTGAGATCTTATATGAAAAGTATGTTCTCTAATATCTCACAACTGTTAAGGTTGAATTTGTAATGAATATAATTCAGGACATTCGTGCTCCTTCTGTGGACCTCAGATCCCCCCCCTCTATAAAAGAGAGACATAACACAGAAATGATCTTTTGGGTAAAATGAGACAACTAAAGAAAAACTGCTCTAGGTCTTCATTAGCACTGGAACACAGCCTGGCAAAATGTGAAAAATACACATTCTGATTTCTGTGTTTGGGTTTTGAATGAAAGAAATAAAGAGCCTTAAAGCCTTCATATTGCCTCCATACAGCCCCCTAGTTCAAATTTACCCTTACATGCTGCTACTTACTGTCCTAGGAAGGAGGAAAAAAAAAAACATTTTACTTTGTTTTAGGAGAGACTGAATGACTGAGTCTCCCACACTGGAAACCTGATCTTGTAAAAGTTAATACCAGCACAGTTACTCAGTAAAGTAACATTTCTTTACTTTGGTGGGGCAATACAAAAAATGGCTGAGAGCTTGGACTCTTGAGCCAGAATCTTGAATTGAACTCTCTCAGTTCTATTATTTAATAAATGTGTGACCACTTAATAGATGTTTAATCTTTCTGTACTCCAGTTTTTTCATCTATATAATGGGAGTAATAATAAAACCTACCTCACAGGTAGGTTGTTGTAAGGTTCAAATGAGTTAATACATATATAGTACTTAGAACAGTACCTGTCACATAGTAAGTGATATATGTTACCCATTATTATTTATTTTTAATCCTTATAACCACTTAGGAGGTGTAAGTATCATAGGCCCCATTTGAGGAAGCTGTGGCCTAGAGTGGCCTTGCCCGAAGTCACATAGAATGTATACGGCAGAGCTGATAATTGATATTGTGACTCCTAAGTCTAGGGTGTTTTGCAGTTCTACTTTTGCTTCTCAATCCAGTATTTTCCATCATCCCACAAAGTGTAAGGAGATGGGAGAAGTCATCCCTCACTGGGGAATATTTACGAACTGAGCCTTGAAAGGACAGTTTTAGTAGCAGAAAGGACACGAGAAACACTTCAGATACAGGGAATAGTTAAAAATGGTCCTGCTTATAACTGTTTAATGGCAGGCTTCCAGCATGTTCTCTCTGGCACCGTACAGTCAGTCATTCCACTGTGTTCTATTTCAGGGAGTCCCTTGACCGAGCGGAAAGTGTTGACACCCAGTTGTTGTGTATCCTTTGCAACGGCTGATGATGCATCTCCTATCTACACCCAAGTGGTTGAAAACACAGATTCCCCCATCTGGAATTTTCAACAGCAGTCAAGGTTTGTATTTTATGATATCCCATCAGCCTTCCAGAATCTTCTTTTTGTTCCAAGAGACAGACTCAGATTAAGGAGTATGAGGACACAACAATATTGAGTAGGCCTGGAAAATGCTTTTCTTATCAACCAGTTATTTAATCCTGGTGCTTATGAATTCACAGCTAGTAGTGGTTTAAAAGTCTTACTGCAGTATTTTTTTTTTTAACTCTTTTTGAGCTCTTTTGAGCTCAGTACAACTCAAAAATTATTCAGTAAAGACCTGTTATATGCTCTGCTCTGTTCTAGGGACTGGGAATTAAAGAAGATTAAGACAGTTCCTGCTATTGAGCTGTTCATAATCTGCCTGGGAAAATATACATTAGAATGTGACAAGTGCTGTAAAAGTATTAAAAAAGGATTCTAGTGCCTCTCAGAAAGATAATTTAGGCTAACCTAGAAGTTCAGGGAAAGCTTTTTAATAAGATAATTCAGCTGAAGAAAAAAAGAGATAATTCAGCGAAGTATTGAAGAATGTACACAATTTATTTAGGTGAAGAAGGCAGAGCAAACTAATTTCAGGAAAGGCTGTGGATTGTATATCCTTGAAGATTTGTGGTGCAGTGGAAGGAGCCTGGGCTTTGCACCTAGAGAGACGTGGCCTCCAACCCCATCTCATTTACTAGCTGTGTGAACAAATTACATTATATCTCTGAGCCTCAGATTCCTCATCTGCAAAGTGGGGTTAACTTCTACAGGGTTATTGTGAGGTCCAAATTAGGTGACATTTAGGAAAATTACCTCATGGTACATAGCAGGTACTCAACAAATGTTAGATCTCCTTTGGAAGCCTCAAAGAATTGGAGGTGGAGTCCTGTCAGGCTTGCCGCAGCACGGTTCAGAGGTCAGGGGCTGACGTACAGGCCCAGGGCTGAGGTGCAGAGCTCATCCTCCCTTTTCTTCGTTGTATCTGTTTCATCGTCATTAAAAGTGTGAGTTCTAATATAACTACTGTTACCCTTACCTTTATCCTGCGTCACCTATAAAGTTTCTCTCTTGTCCACCAACACTAGCCACACCACATGGTGTCTCATCCGCTGTTTTCTCACAGTGTTTACGTACCTAATTGAGCCTCAGCAGTTGTTCACATGTCCAGTGTTTTGAAATTTGAGAGGCTGACCTGAGTCAGGAGCTAGAACTACGGTGACAACTCAGTACTATCTATGGTGAGCTACTGGAAATTATAGAAATTCTCGCCATTGTGGCCAGGTACTTGATCTAAAATATCAAATCTGCCTTAAAAGGCAGGAGGCTAGAGGGCTAAGCTTGTAAGTGAAGATGATTTATTCATTCAGAGCTTAACTTTATGGACTTGACAAAGGGACATTGACAGTCTCCTAATTTTATCCCCTCACTTTAAATACTGTGGACCAAGGGAGGTTACGTCGTCTTTTGGTAGCAGAGGAAAGATGAGAAGAAAAATGAGTAATGGTTCTGTTTACAGTTGCTCTATCACAAAATTGTTTCATTTGATGCTCCTAGCAACCTTGTAGGTAGAAAATACTATCCCATTTAACAGTAAGAAAGCCAGGGCTCAAAAAGTCTGAGTTCTCAGGGTCACTCAGGTGACCATAGTAGAGCTAGAATGCACTGACCACCAGCTAGAATTCAGATTTTTGACACAGTACTTACTTCACACAGTGCCTCTCACTGGTCTTGAAGTGGGTTCTCTTTAGTTCCCCAGGGATATCTAGGGAAGGAAATTAAGTCTCTTGGTGTTCCCTGGATCTCCTCCTGAAGCCATGGCACCTGGTGTGGAACTTTCCAAATCTTTGTAATTTAAAATGGTGTAAGTCGGGCGCCTGGGTGGCTCAGTTGGTTAAGCAACTGCCTTTGGCTCAGTCGTGATCCTGGAGTCCCCGGATTGAGTCCCGCATCGGGCTCCCTGCTCGGCAGGGAGTCTGCTTCTCCCTCTGACCCTCC